CGAAGTATTTGCAGACTTAAGATATATTCATTAAATAAAGAGTGGTGAAGAACTTGAATAGCTATATTAATATCAGACAAAATAAATTATAGAGCAAAAAATATTAGCAGGCATAAAGGAATCATTCCTATAATAATGGTGTCAATTCATGAAGAGGACATAGCAAACCTAAATGTTTAAAGACCTAATACCAAAGCCTCAAAATACTTGAAGCAAAGACTAATAAAATTTATGAGGAAAAAGACAAATTCACGATTATAGTCAGATATTTCAACCACCTTTTCTTAATTTTTGATGGAACAAATAGAGAGAAAAAAGAAAGGTGGAGAATTGAACAACCTATCAACTAATTTGACCCAACTGACATTTATTGAACATTCCAATCAACAACAGACATTCTTTTCCATTGCACATGGGACATTTACCAATCAATGAAATCAAACACTAGTTTTTGAAAAGATCAATATACTTGATAAAGCCTAGCCAGAATGATCAAGAAGAAAAAAGAAAGAAAGATACAGATTACCAATATCCAGAATGAAGCAGGAGACATCATTAGAAACCCTGTAGGCATTAAAAGTATAACAGGGGACTACTATAAACTTTATGCAATAAGTGTAACAACTTAGATGAAGTAGCCAATTTCTTGAAAAGCATTAACTATAGTACTTCAGATTGGAAAGGAAGAAATAACCTGGTGACCCGTATCTATTTGTTATTAAAACTTTCCAGCAAAGAAAATTTTAGACCTAAATGGCTTCACTGGTCAATTCTACCAAACATTTAATAAAGAAGTAACACTAAGTCTACATAAACTCTTCCAGAAAATTGATGAGGAAGGAATATTTCCTAATTTATTCTCTGAGACTACCAAAACCAGACATTAGAGGGCCGGCCACCCGGCCTAGTGGTTAAGCTTGGTGAACTCCACTTCAGCGGCCCGGACCCAGTTCCCGGGTGTGGACCTATGCTGTGTTGGCGACCCATATACTAAATAGAGGAAGATTGGCACAGGTGTTAACTCAGGGCGAATCTTCCTCAAGCAAAAAGAGGAAGATTGGCAACAGATCTTATCTCAGGGCAAATCTTCCTCAGCAAAAAAAACAGGCATTAGCTTTAGAGTTAAAATAAAACTACAGGGGTACAGCCTGGTGGCGGTGTAGTGGTTAAGTTCCCGTGCTCTGCTTCGGCAGGCCAGGGTTCGAAGGTTCAGAACCTGGGTGTGGACTGATGCACCATTTGTCAAGTCATGCTATGACAGGCATCCCACATATAAAGTAGAGGAAGATGGTCACGGATGTTAGCCCAGGACCAATCTTCCTCAGCAAAAAGAGGAAGATTGGCAACAGATGTTAGCTCAGAGCTAATCTTCCTCACCAAAAATAATAATAATAATAATAAAATAAAAATAAATAGAACTACAGACCAATATTCTAAATGAACCTGGAAACAAAAATACTTAACATTTTAGAAAATAAAGTACAAAAATACTCAAAAATAACACACTCATGAACAATTGGAAATTGTTACAGGAATTCAAGGTCAGTTAAACTTTAATTGGCAATGTAATTAAACATTTTAACAGTCCAAAAAAGAGAAACGATATGATCGTGTCAGAAAGAAGCAGAAAAAAATTTCAACAAAATTCTTTATCCAATTATGATAAAAATACTCAGCAAACTAGAAACAATAGGGAACTTCCCTAATATGAAAAAGGACAACTACAAAAAACCTACAGATAATATTCTACCAATGGTAAAAGATGAATGCTTTCCCCCTAAATTTGGCAAAAAAGGCAAAGCTGTCTATTCTTAGGATTTCTATTCAAAAGTGTACTGTATGTTCTTACCAGTACATTAGGGCAAGGAAAATAAATACAAGGCATCCACTTTGGACAGGAAGAAAAAAAACTCCTTGTATTCACAGACAAGACGTTCGTCCACGTAGAAAAGCCTAAGGATGAGCTTGTAGAACTAAAAAGTAAATTTAACAAGGTTTCAATATACAAGGTCAATATACAAAAATCAACTTTATTTCTGTATGCAATCAACAAACAATTGAAAGTAAGAGAAAACATTAACATATCCATCAGGATCAGAAATAAGAAATACTTCATAATGAATACGACAAGATTTGTGTAAAACTAAAAAACACCACTGAGAGAAATTAATCAAGACCTAGATAAATAGAGACATAAACCATGCACACGGTTTGAAATATTAACATGCCACTTTCCCCCAAATTGATCTATAGATTCAGTGCGATCCCAATCAAAGTCCCAGCAAGCTTCTTTGTAAAAATTGACTGGCTGATTCCCACATTTATATAGAAACACAAATGACATACAATTGCCAAAAATACTTTATAGAAGAACATAGTTAGAAGACTTACACTACCTGAATGCTAGACTTTTGTAGAGCCATAGTAATTAAGACAGTTAATGTTGGCATAATGATAGACATGTACCTCAGAATAGAGAGTCCAGAAATGGGCTCAGACATTCAGTAATGAAAAAGTAACATTTTCAGCAAATAGTGCTGGGAAAATTGTCTAGCCATAGTGTTTTTTCACTATGGTTTTTTTTTTTAAAAGATTCTTCACCATTACCTCACACCATATACAATTTTAACTCAAAAATTGAACATAAACTTAAATGTAATATCTAAAACCATTAAACTTCTTTCTGCAATTTTTCTTCTGAAACATAGGGAAAAAAATCTATGGGACCTTGTGCTTAGAAAAATTTTCTTAAATGTGATACAAAAAGCAGAAATTATAAAATAAAGATCAATAAATTGGACTTCATCAAAATGAAAAACTTGTACTCTTTAAAAAACATTGTTGTGTAAGTGAAAATGAAAAATATTTGCAATTCATGTACCTAATAAAGTTCTCATACCTGGAATGTATAAAGAACTCTTATAATTTAACAATGATAAGCAAGAATCCTAATCAAAATATGAGCAAAAGATTTGAACTGACACTTCACCAAGAAGATATATGACGGCAAATAGTACATGAAAAAATACTCAACATTTTTATTTGGGAAACGCATATTAAAATCACAATGAGCTACCACTAAGCACTCACCAAAATAGCTAAATTTTTAAAGCTGATCATTCCAAGTTTTGCCAAGAGAAAAGGAACTCTCCTAAACTGCTGGTAAGAGTGTAAAATGGCACAATTATTTGGAAAACAACCTGGCCATTTCTTAATAAGTAAAATATATACCTACCCTGTGACTCTGCCATTCCACTTCTAGCTGTTTATCCAAGAGAAAGAAAAGCATATGTCCACACAAAGGCTTGCATACAAATGATCAATAGCATCTTTACTTGTAGTAGCTAATATCTGGAAACAACCAAAATTAAGAGGTGAATGAACAAACAAATTTTTGAATATCCATGAAATGGAATATTAACAATGAAATAAAGTGAACTATTACTGTATGCAATAACATGGATGGATCTCAAAATAATTACACTGAGTGAAAGAAGACAAGCAAACAAAAAGAATATATGTGTATGATTTCATTTATATGATGTTCTAGAAATTGCAAACCAATCTATAGAGACAGATATCAGACCACTGGTTGTCTGAGAAGTATGGAGGAAGGAGGAGAAAGAAATAGATTTCAAAGGAGGACAAGGAATCTTTGAGGGTGATGCATGTATGCATTTATCTTGATTGTAGTGATGGTTTCACAGATGTTTACATATGTCAAACTAACCCAATTGAACACCTTAAGTAATACAATTTAATATATGTTCGATATATCTCAATAAAGCTGTAAAAGAGAGGGAAAAAATAAAATCTCCACACAAAGAAGAAAATCTCTAAGATCCTGTGGATTCCAGTCACAATCCAGAGAGTCGCTCAAAAATATTTTAACAAAATTAAAGTTTGCTTTGACTGCCTGCCTCAAACCCAGTTCCATCCAGAGGAAACAACTATTGTTAAAATGATGTGTATTCTTCCACTCTTTTTAGTTAATGCCTTTACTGACATATACACACAAAACGTTTTTACACAAATTAGAATCATTACTATACACATTATTCTACAACATTGCTTTTTCGCTCAAAAATACGTTTAGAAAGATAAAATCTGCTGCTCTCTTTTTAGCAGATGTATAGTATTAAATCACATGGATGCACTTCATTTAATGATATTCTTTTGATGGACTCAAATGGGGATTTGAAGACATCTTTGTATATATATATCTTTGAGCATTGATTTATTTCCTTAAAGAAAGACTTTTTAGGGGCTAGCCTGGTGGCGTAGTGGTTAAGTTCGGCACACTCCACCTCGGCAGCCTGGGTTCACAGGTTCGGATCCTGGGCGCAGACCCACACCACTCATCAAGCCGTGCTGTGGCGGTGACCCACATACAAAATAGAGGAAGATTGGCACAGATGTTAGCTCAGGGCCAATCTTCCTCTCCAAAAAAAAAAAAAGACTTTTAAAATACCTATTATAAAAAAGTGCTAATTTGTACATTCAACAAACAATTATGTAGGTACTTCTCTGTACCCAGGACTGATAAACAGAAAAGAATCATGTGTAATCAGTGTCCTGAAAGACCTCTCATTTCAGGGGAAGAGACAGGTGAACAGACTGCCACAATGCGGTAAGATAAACACTGATAGAGCCATCACAAAGGCTGTGAAGAAATGCAGGAGTACCCAGGCTTGGAGGATCAGAATAAATTACTCTTGGAGGGGTCCTTTCTCTCTGAATTACCATATCATTCTTGCGTCATCTCTTCTTTCACATTCCCCCAAGGCAGGCCTAGAACAGAACTCTGAAGAGTAGTGTCTCACTTAGAGCTGCTGGCCAATGGACCAAAGTTATGTTTGGCACAGTATCTTGTATCCTTCTCGTCCCCTGGCTGAGCCCAACCCCAGCTAGGGAGGACAATAAAGACCTGTGTTCAGAGTCACACTGAATAGAGGGTTCTGGATGCCATACAACCCACTGCCTACTGTCCTTCAGGAGCCATGAAGTCCCTATTGTTCACTCTTACAATTGTTTTGCTCCTGGCCCAGTTCATCTCAGGTAAATAGCATCTTGGGGAAGAAGAAACATCCAGCTAGAACAGAGTCCTGCACATGGAGTCCCTATTATCAAACTGTCCATGGGAGTGGGGAAAGTGTACTCACAGGAGGGGGGCTGAGCCTTGCCCTACTTCTTCTCTTAGAACAAACACTTCTGTTGTAAGACATCTCAAGGCTCTCACAATAGAGCAGTGTCTATGATTGGAGCTGAGAGAGGAGTATGAGAATCCAAATGCAGAGATGACCCTGATATCCCAAATTTCCCTTTACCCTGTCACTTTGTGTCAGCCCAGTCCAGCGTCACCTTGCTTCACTTTGTATGGCACCAGGAGTTACCTCCTGAAGTAACAATTCTGTGATGTTACTTCTCCAATTTTTTGATCCTACAGGGAAGGTCTCCCTTTTTTTTTTCTTCTTGGATGTGGTGAACAGGACAGGGGAGGCTGTTTCTAAGTTCCTGTAGGACCATATGGCGAAAAGGGGAGAAAATTATTCTGGGTGGACATGGGGGAAGATTCAGAACTGCTGGAAGTCCTATGTCATATTTCAGCCCTAGTTGTGTAAGCGTTCCTTCTTTTTAATTAATTCTGTAGTTTATATTTACAAAATTAAGACAGGAACACTGCAAGTATTTGGGAAATAAAAAATTGGCTACCATTTCATTACTTCTTATATTTTCTAAGTTTTACCAAGTTGTATGCATGTTTCTAATCTGATTTTTTAACTTAATATTTTATCAAAAAGAAATTTTGCAGACCTTTATTCCTTGAAAATACAATTTGCAATAGATGTTTATTATTCTATTTTTGTACCAATATTTACTTGGAAAGACCTCTATTGTGTCATTTAAGTTATTTTTTCCAACGTGTCAGTATTATAAACAGTGTTGTAATCTACTTTATAAATCATTGTGGGATTTCTAATATACAAACAAATTTTAGAAGCTCTGTTTCCAGGTTATAGCATATTGTTTCTTTTAAGGGAATTGCCATACATTTTCAAATGGTGACTCTTAGTATATTAGTGCTTTCTTACTAATTTGTTTATTTTACTTGATATTAACTTTGATATTCAATATTACTGTAAATATTACGTGCTGGTTTTTTAATAGCTTTATTGATATATAATTTCATATCTATGTCACAAAGTATTATTTTTTAAAGGAACTGTTATACATTTTCAAATGATTACTGTTAGTACATTAGTGCTTTCTATCTAATTTGTTACTTTTACCTGACAGGTACATTAACTTTGGCATTTTATCTATTGTAAATTATTGTATGTCAGTTATTTTTAACACCTCTATCGATGTAGAATTACCCTATAGTTCACCTATTTAAAATGTAGAAACCAATGCCTTTTAGAATTTTTAGAGAGTTGTGTGACCACAACTATAATCTAAATTTAGAACCTCTTCATCATCCTAAAAAGAAACTTTGTACCTATAGCAGTCAATCCTCACTTGGCTCAACCAACCAAGGCAATCATCTATTGTTCACTTTTTTAAATTTTTATTAATTTATTGAGGCATAAAATTTTTGTTTTCATATCAAATGTATTGATGTTTTTCTTTCCATTCTCTATTAGCTTAGAAAGTTCTTCTCTGTGTTGAGAGCAGTTATTCACCCAAGCTTTATATTTTCTATGGTTCTATTTTTTATATGGGATTATATTTGATTTGTAATTTTTTAATATATGGCACAAAGTGACAAACTAACTTTTTGAGAAAGAACTTCCTAACAGAAAGAGAGTTGTGTAATAACTGTATAGCCTGACTCTAGAGATAGTAGTTTTTGTTCTCTACTAATAGCATACTGTTCAAACTGATGGATAAGAGGAAATTAATAATGGTATGAAAGTTGCCTTGGATGATGTTTCTGGTCTACTGCATCCTTGAAATTCTATGAGTTTAGATTACATGATTTCTCTCTCTGCCTCTGGGACTTGATGTCATACATCACATACTCGAGTGGTGTTCTATGGAAATGGAAGGGTCCTGAGAAAACTCAAGTTCCCTTTCTAGACAAACACAAGCAATTCAGGAGTATTCTGTGAAATTAGTCAGTCCATCTCCAAGATCCAGTGGCATTAGAAATGGAACATTTAGGTAGGACATTTGGGAGGGAAAATCAACAAAACACCAAGAAACATGGAACATCGGGAATGGAAAGAAGGAAACGATAGACTTTATCTGAGATTTCCATCCACATGTCCCAGCTGAAGAAAGACATTTGAGTGTCATGTCCATGGAGATGTTTGTGACAGTGAGGAAAAAGAGGATAATAGAGTGGCTGGAAAGGAAGTTTAAGTCAAAGCGCCATTGTGGAGAGCCCTTGAGGCATGCAGAGGAATACGAAGAGGAGAAAGAGTCATGAAACAACAGAACTTCCTCAGATACATCAAGCTCTTCACCAGCTCACGGTCTTTGAATGTGCTATTCTCTTACTTCTAACAATCTTCTTCTAGCTCGCCACATGGCTGGATACTTTTTGTCTTTCATGTCTAGTCTTCAATGTCACTTCCTCAGGGATAATTTCTTATACCACCCTGTCAATAGTAGCTCTATTCGGTTACTCTCTACTACATCACATTATTTTTTTCCTTAATTATATTTATATCAATCTGTAGTTATTTATTTACTTCTTTATTGTCTTTCTCCTCCTCTCTGATGTAGGCTCCTGGGCTTGTCTGTCCTGCTCAGTTGGCGTTGGTTATATATATTTTGGTTGAATAAGAGAATAAATGACTCAACATAGAGCAAGGTGGGGAAGAGTTCCAACATCTCTTCAAGGCCTTCTATATGTTAAACTATGTGAAGGGAGACCATATACATATATACAGGCACACCACGTAGAATGTCTTTCTGATTGACATATTCCTAGTAAAATGCCTCTCGTATGTTTTATTCCTAAAATTACCCAAAAAACCTGCACATATCTCAATATTATATATAATCAATGTTTATATACAAAAAGTTTATATGTACTTGTCTATCACTCAATACAACATTTTGAAAAAGACAGTATGTAACGCAAGCATAAATTTATGTTCCAAATATAATTTGTAAGACTTCAGAAACATGTAGAGACATTTTGAAAATCCCACCAAGTGTCAACAAAAGCCATGTGTGTTTGGGGTAATTCTGAGAAGCATTACAATAATAATTTAAGCATTCCACATTTTAAAATGATACCTGTGAGTTCTATTTAGGAGTTTAAATGTGTTTTGGTTACATTTTAGGAAATTGGTTGGGGATCTTGTGTTGATGTGTAATGATGTGTTATATTTTTTCCCATTTAAAAAATGAGAAATAGGATTCTGGTGAAAGTTTGCATGCAGAATTCTGATTTCAGGAGTGGTAAGTCCATACATATATCTACAAATCTATACGTTTATGTATGAATAAAATCTCATTTATTCCTCAGAAGATGTTTTTACTATTAGGACAAATATAACAAAGCAACTGGTAAAGACTTGAATAGTCAATGCTCGAAAAAGCTTGTTGTTTTAAATTTATTTTGATAAATATCTTTTGCTTAATGATCTATATAATTCCTTTACGCAGGTAATTGGTTTTTAAGAAAGTGTGAAAACAAAACCGGATATTGCAAGAAAAAATGCAGAATTGGAGAGTTACAAAAATATTCTAAAGGGAAATGTGCCATACGTAAGGTGTGCTGTGTTATGGATATCAACCACGACATTAAACCCTTAACTTTCAGTAATACAGCCTCTATGCCAACTGTTAAGAATCAACAACTATCAACTACTAAGAAACTAAAAACTACAGTAATGGTAATCACTACTTCAACTGTTTGAACATTCCAGCCTCTGTCTCCTGACCTAGGATTCCTGGTTCATTAAAGCAAAAGGGCTTATTCTGGGGTCCGTCTTCTCTCTCTGTCCCCCTTCCCCCTGTCCCTCCACTCGATAATGTTTGGAAGGGCATCACGTTTCCATAGCACCAGTAGTTCCGGGGTAGAAATGCAAACAAGACAGAGGCCAGGCACAAGTGAGGGTTAGTCCAAATCACTCACTAAGGACTGATGGACGGAAGTGGTGTCGTCACTGAAGACAGCTCCCAGCCCACAGGCCCACAATCTGCCGACAGCAATGATTATCAAACTTTAATTTGCATCAGAAACATCTGTAGGGACTGCTAAAACACAGATGTCTGGGCCTCATCTCCAGTTTCTGATGCTGTAGCAGAGCCTGAGAATTAGCATTGCTCGCAAGTTCCCAGGTGATGCTGACGTTGCTGGTCAAGGTACCACACTTTGAGAACCACTGGCCTATAATATGGAATGATCGAAGACCCCCTCCTACAGATTGAAGGCATTTGCTACGTAGTTTTGAAGTGATTAGTAACACAAAAGCATTCCCACAGAGTGCTTTCATATTCATGTCTTATTGGGTGTCCTACAACAACCCTGGGATGTAGATAGTGTGACCTCACTTCAGAGAAGGGAAATATTGATTTGTAGGCATGAGAATGGAGACAGACTTAATTGACTACCAAGAGCACTTTGCCACTACACCTGATATTATCCAACTCTCTTCTCTCTCTGGAAATATACATTCATATGTACTGCCAACTTAGAGAGGATGGAAGGGGGATCAAAAGGTCTGTAGTGTGAGCTAAATATTGGGATAGGCACTCACGTTTAGCCATGAGTTTAGCCGTTAAGACTTTTCCCTTAAGAGCTCAGCCTACACAAGTCAGAGAAGGTAATCAGAATGAAATCTCACCTTCATTTATGCTATATCTTCACCAGGAGACAGGCCTCTATATCCTTCAAGAGACACATCTCTGACCTATGTCATTATCTAGCAGGGGAGATTTGAGGGGTGGGTCCTCACAACTAGTAGGACATCAGTGCCTCTTACACCCATGGCTATCATTGGAGGTAGAAGTCCTGAACTCACACAGGAAGGTGGGTGGACAGAGGCAGGTCGCTTCAGCAGAGGAGGATAGAAGAAAAAATCACGAGCTTTGGAGTCAGACATATATGAGGTCATTCGTGGTCCCACCATCTATTCAGTCTTGGACTATGGAAAATTGATTTCCCACCTTTGAGCCTAAGTTTCTGAACTTGAAGAACAGAGAAAATATTTACACCCACTCAGGGCACTTTGAGGGTTGCTAGAGTAGTATATTCAAATTTACTCACGTCATAGGGACTTAGCTGCAGCAGGTTGCTGATTCCTGGATGAAGAGCAGAAAGGCACATTTCCCGAGGGGCCTGCCCACTGGACCATGGCTGCTCTGCACGGGCATGGGTGATTATAAGCCATATTTGACCTGGGGAAAAGCTCGTTACTACACACAGAAGAGTGTGACAGAGATTAGGATCATAGGATCTCTTTGCACAGCCAGAAGGTTTTAAAGGCTCCTGGGAGAACTCACTGTGCTTTCTCCTCAGTATCACCTTGATCACTACCTTGAAAACACCTTAGAGCGATGATCTCTGTGATTACAGACGCAGAAGATAATCTTAGTGCTGCAGCCTGAAACTTTACCCTCCTGTGTTCTTGCCTCACATCCATTCCTTCTTCACCCCATGCTTGAACTTAGGTGGCAAATAACCTTTCCCTGTTTTGGGGTTTGTGGGAGAAAAGGAACCTTCACTGTAAGAGAACCCACAATGGGCCAGGCACATGGATGCACAATCTCATTGAACAGAATTGTTATAAAACCATTATGATGACAAGATTAAAGATGAGGAACCTGCAGCAAAACCGATCAGATTCTCCCTTTACTACATTTACTTGTCATGTGGCCCCTACCTCAATCTCTTCACTGGTAAGAAGGTTTTTGCCTCACACACCCACCTCTTAGTATAAGTCTAAAAATTAAATAAAATGAGGCACATTGAACACTGAGCACAGTCTCTGGCACCTATGAAACTCTAAGAAATGTAGGCTTTAAAAAGATATGTGAGGCATAGGTTATTACCATTTAAAATATGAAAAATCTGAGTTCATGGGGAAAAGGATCTTGAACTAGAACAGACAACCACGTTTGGGAAGCAGTTCTGCCTGCTCCTGAGGCCCCACATCTCTAACCCATCTCATGCTAATCCTGAAGATATCCTCAAAGCTGACTTCTAACTTGTTAACCTTTCCTCTTGCATAGCCACATAGTTCTCAAGAATGAGCTCTGTAAACCATGCACATTCATATCTGTGTGTATTCAGGTTTTAGTGTCTTTGAATAAATCTTTGCCTTAAATAAATTAAATGAGAATTTGATTTCAATGCCCATTGGTATTTGACCCTAACATGATGTTCAAAAGTTTGACTCCAAGCCTCATGATAACCACAAAGCAAAAAACCTATAGAAGAAAAATGCACAAAATATAAAGAGAAAGATATCAAAGCATACCACTACAGAAAATCATCAAATCATGAAAGAAGACAGCAAGAGAGAAAGAAAGGAACAAAGGATCTTCAAAATACCCAGAAAACAATTAACAAAAGGGCAATAGTAAGTCCTTATTTAATAATTATCCAGCCTTAAAAAAGAAGGAAATCCTGTCATTTGCACCAATATGGAGGAACTTGGTGAACATCATGCTAAGTGAAATAAGCCAGACACAGAAAGGCAAATATCACATGATCTCACTTAGATGTGTAGTCTAAAAAAAAAGTTGAACTCATAATAACAGAGAGTAGAATGGTGGTTACCAGAGGCTGGGGGTGGGGGAAAAGGAGAGATCATGATTAAAGGATACAAAGCTTCAGTTATAAAGTTAATAAGTTCTAGAGACCTAATGTACAGCATGGTTACTATATTTAATATTAATATATTTTATATTTGAAATTTGCTAAAAGAGTAGATCTCAAGTGTTCTCACCACACACACACAGACACACACAAATTGTAACTATGTGAGGTGATGGATATGTTAACTAGTTTGATTTTGGTAACCATTTCACAACGTTTACATATACCAAAACATCACGTTGTACACCTTAAATATATGCAATTTTTATTTATCAACCATGTCTCAGTAAAGCTGATAAAATAAAATCTTCTGAACTAAATTATATTAGAGATGTAACATATCAACTAAACAGTTCTTAGAGGGAAATGTAAGCCATTTGATCCATATATTAGAAAAAGAGGTAAGTTGAAAATAAATTATTAGAGATTCATATTGAAACAGTAGACAAAGGTTAGCACATCAACTCAAATACAAATACAGCGAACTCAAATACAGCAAATCTGATAAATAATAAAGATGAAGAGAAGAAATCAACAAAATACAAAAGAAATTTTCTACAAAGAAAGTAAAAAAGAGTTTGACTCCTCTCCTGAAATGATATCTGGGCACACAGAAATTACAGAGACCAAAAAGTGATCATTACACAAGAAATTAATTCACAATGGCTAGTATAAAGCAGGCCAAGTGTATGAAAATATATGAATATATGGTCCTTATTATACTAAACCATAAGTTATATAATATCCCTTATTTCACTCTGTCTTGCTGCAACGTCACATTCAAAGAAAAGCAGACCAGCAATCAAAAGTAAACAAAATCCAGTCTAGTGTTAACTGAGCCTCTTGCTAGCCAAATGCTCTATCCCATTACATTTTATTATGTAACTATTTCATAAAGAGTTATTAATTCTAAGCCATAAATGTATATGATTGAAACATTTCCAAATGTTACAAAACGAAATAAAACATGAAGTAAAAATCCCCTAAAATATCCCCCAAAGGGAAATATTTCTGAAGATTGATATTCTAATGGTTCTCTTCATGTCTAAATAGTGTAACCCCATTTCTTTATTTTTGAAGTTAAAATTGTACCTAGAAAGCCTTGATTTGACTGGTGAGGATTTAACTTAGTTGCTACATCCCCACACTTTCTGTTCTTCTTCCCACTTTTTGCTAGTAATATTATTCTTTAGTTCTCCTATTATTGGCTTTATAATATGAAATAATATATGAAAATATTTTATTTCTATCTATTAACGTTAGACATTATTTTAGATTGCTCATGGTGTTGAAGATACCTCACCTCCTCAACCCAACACATCTGTCTACTCTGTCAGTTATTCATTATGCTTACATTGTCGAGGATGTCAATTCTGTTATAATGTTAGAAGATGTGTCTCAAGGGATTCTTAGAACATGGTGACCTGATTTGTTTCCTTTCTAACCTCTACTCTGAACTTTAATGTATCTAATTCTCCTGTGTTGAGGAGCTGCTAATACTTCTAGGCAGGTGCACAGGTAAGGACTTTAGCTCTATGCTGTGAGGTTTTTTTCTTGACTGAGAGAGAAATTCCGGGAGGTCTTTAAGAATTTTCTGGCTTTCAGAAACCTATGGAGCCCTTGAAGAGTCAACATTGGCCCCATACAAGTGTATGAGGCTCACTTCCACCAAAGAGATTAAAAAGGAAGTTGAATGAGTATGCTGAGCCCTCCCTGTTCTTTAGCCTAAGAGTGCGTAGATATAGGTAAGCCATGAAGGTTTCCACCACGTGACTCAAAAAAGAACTGGCAGACTGTTCACTCATATATAGCTGGCCAAATGGGATAGAAACTGCATCAAATTCACATGCAGAGAAAAGATTAACAAGTTTAAAACCAGGATTTCCCAAATAAAATATTCCATGTAAAAATTTATGACCACTATTCAGACCAAATTTAGTAACCTGAAGAATGGATAAAGGATGAAAAATTGAATTGATTAAAGAAAAAATAAAACAGCAAAATAATTCTGAAATTAAAAAAAAAAAAAACTTAAGTCTGCAGATCTAAATGAGTCATTGAATCCACGATAGATTGATGATAAAAGTCACTCTC